GGCCATTCACTGATTCTCTTTCCCTTGCAGCCCATGTGAGTGAACTCTATGAACAAGCCATGGCTCCTCCATCCCCACCTCACACAGAGATGGCAAGAGAGGACCAAGAGCAGAGTTTAAGGTAGGACACAGAGCTGAAGMAAATATAAATAGCACAAAAAGTGAAACCAAGCACGCAGGGAAGGTGATTTTTACTCACCATCATTTAAGACTGGGACTTAGATCTCTACAATRTTTTACTGGGATTATTTTGTCCCTCTGTGCCTCTCTTTCCTTACCTGAAAGATGTTTCAGAGTTTGTTGGGAAAGCATTTTGGATGTTTCTTTGATTGAATTATCTAATGAATATGCAGATATGAACAACTTTGTGCAAACCATACAAGTCTAATCAGGAATCACCTGAGGTGTYTATGTAGCATTTTCTTTCCAGGGTTATCTTGTAAATATTTTTGTATTTATAGAACACTGCTAGTTTTCTCATTCCCACTACTCTCTCTTTTTTTCTTTCTGATRATTCAGTCTAGAAGACGTAACAGAAGTGTCCAAGTGGCAAAGAAAACTAGAGCAGAACAGGTAATAATTTTARGATCAAGTTATTTTAATGAAGCAGCTTAATCTACTGTTGTAAACAATGTTATTGATTTTACCAGGTTTTGGGTGATGGTCCAATGGCTTGGCTGCAAATAATGGAATATTTTCTGTAACAGAAATGCTGAAAAATGGTTTGAATTTCTTTGGTTTTCTTTTCTTTTTTTTTTTTTTTTTCTCAAAACCTAGCAGCATTACTGTTAACTTACTCTATGCAAACCAAGGCTGAAATCAGAAGCCCTGTGTTTGGTTTTCTGGTTCTGCCACTAGTGTGAAAAATGCTGTGTGTTAGTATTTTCAAATGCTGATGCTTTAGGTTAAGATTCAGGTATTCCACAAATAAAAAGTGATTTTTTCAACTAGAATCCCAGATAGGTCTCACATGGTGCTGCTTCAAAGCTTCATCAGACAAAACTGTTCACATGAAAGGTCTCCCAAACCCTTAATCACCTTTGTGGTCCTTTTGTGCATCAAAAATGGCCACAGCACTCCAAATGAGGCTTTCCATATTACTTCTTAATTACTTCCTGACTTGCATGACATAAAAAGCCTTTTAAAGTTTCAGAGTTATATTTTAATATATCATTTCACACTGTTTTCCATCCTATTAAAAATTACTTCTAATGGATGTATCAGAGCAGCCAGCACCCAAGAACATTGTGCAATTCTGGCTCTAAAAATTCTCAGTATGATTAAGAGTGATAATTTCATAGCTCATATTAGACCCTGCAAGTCAGTGAAACTCTAGTAGTGTAAAACTGGGCTAAATCAAGCTGAAAACATGACTGATCTTTACTCTGGTCAACCTTACCTCCAGAAATTTGAACAGCTTCTTCTGTATCCACAGAGCCATCAAGTCTTTCTGTCACAAAATAAGGAAATGAGGTTAATTTTGTGTTCAAAATTTTAGCAATGCATCTGGAACACCAATTCTTAGAGCTTTAAGTGTTTGTTGGAAGGTTAGGAAGACACTAGTGGCAGTACCAAAAATGTTCCATGAGATTTAGAGAAATGAAGCATGTTCTGAGGAAGAGCTCTTTTCTTAATGCTGATAATAATACTGAAAAACAGGGTGAACTCAGTTATAATGCTTCTTTTTTTTTTCTTTTCCTTACCAACAATGTAAAAAAAAAACCCACACTTAGGAGAGAACTGGATGAACAAAGGACGACCTTTACAGCAATAATACACAAAATATTTTCTCCATATTTTGAATCTGAATTCTACAAAGCATTTTTGCAGGAAAAGGTAATGGAGCTGAAAACTGGATGAGTTTTGTTGGCCAGGTAGTATCTCCCATACTCCCAAAGATAATTTTGGATATATATTTCATCCTCTATTTATCTCAACAAACCAAAGGACAGCCATGTCAGGGAATTCTATGCCTGTGTAAAGGAAATATATCTTAAAGATGGTATATATCACTGAATAAAAACCCTATAAAATTCCTTACATAAACTCTGGAGACAGTCTGATTCAGAGCAAAGCTCAACCTCAGGTTTTTTTTAATTACCCCTCAAATCCCTCTTGCTGCTTATTAAAAAAAGGAATAAGTAAAACCAACATGTCTAATTTAGAGGTGATCTTGAGGACTTTCCTACTGTAGCCTCACCTGGTAAATGCTGTAAGTGAACAGAAATTTAGGTTTTCATCTGATGTGGCTATGTATATCTTTTTTGTAGTTACCACTTTGGTCCTGCTTATTTTTTTCCTTTGCACCCTTTTTTTTTCCCCTTTCTTTTTTGGAAGGGGGAGGAGGGTTGTCTGCTGTTTGTTTTTTCTAGGTGTTTATTTGGGAAACTAAGCCCTCTTTTCTTACTTTTCTCTAGTTTGCTAATTTGGAAGCAATGTCTAAGGAACTTCCTCCACTTAAAAGAGAAAGTGTGGCTTCTCTTTCAAAGACAAAAGAACCAAGTGGAGGTAATCTACTGTCTGGAATTGGGTTTGTATCTTCTTCAGGAGAAAAAAAGCCTCAGACATTATGGAATGTGGAATAACCATCAGCTTTGGATGCTAAGCTGAAGAATTGGTCTGTGAATGACAGGTGGATAGATGAAAAATGCTCAAGAAAAACTTAAATGGAATAAATAATARTTAGGGGTGGATGAGCAAAAACCAAGGAGGCAGAGTTTAGAAAAAAAAATAGTAAAACTGTAGGAAAAATATGGGAGATTTCATTGTGAAAGTCAGGGCTAAGAGGGAACTGATGCAAAAGCAATTTGGAATAGGAAACCTCAGCCTAATGATAGTTTGGAGGACATAGGAGGAAAGCAGGGACTCCATGATGGGAAGCAGTGCAAGAGTGAATCCTTATCTTGGGCTTGAGCTTTACAGAACTGAGAGGAATACTKCAGTTCTGTTTGAAAAGCAGCCCTTACAAGTTAATGAAATCATAGAGTGAGATTAAAAGTCATACACAGCAAATATTCATATCAGGAAAACAGTCCTCCCCATGGGCTTTATCAGACCCCCACTAATTCCCCTATTTCCAATTTTCAAACACTGTAAGACCTGTGTTGGATTGCCTTTTAGTCCTTTATGGCTTATAGTTTAGTTAACCAGAGAACAAGGAATGCCTAATCACACAAAAGGCATTATTGATCCCTGTAGAACAAAATATCACAATCAGAACTTTCCCAGCCTCTCATGGTTATAGAGGCAGCTTTCCAAGATTGCCTAAAGTGCCAAAGACTGTGATTTTTTTTTTTTTCACATGTTTATGAAAATGGTGAAGATCATGAGTAACACTTGTCTCAATATTCCATTGTTTTCTTTAGCAGCTGAACTTGATGATAGCACAAGTGATTCCTCACTTTCATCTGGCCCTCCACCACAAGTGGAACAAGATGATGATTCCAAACAAGATGATGGTTCCAAACAAGATGATGATTCCAAACAAGATGATGGTTCCAAACAAGATGATAGTTCTAATAACACAACAGGTACACCTGCCTTCCAGAATATAGTTGGAGCAGCCTGATATTGTTTTATAACTTTTGACACAATATTTGCAATCCAAATTTAAATCTGCTTTTTTATGCTTTTGGAAATCTTTCCCTTCCAGACCTAAACAAGGCTGCAATAGCAGAAGAGACACCTGTTCAACATAAAGCTCCAAGTTTGATGGTGGATGTTACAGGACAGACAAGAAAAGAGAAAGTAATATTACCATCATCCCTTCAGGGGAGAAAACCACACACTGTACCAAATAAAAAGGTAAAAATAACGTTCCTGCCAATATCCTCTGAGAACCTCTTTTTTTGTAGAATCTTCACCCTGGAGGAATGCTGAAAGGTATTTTGAATCTRTTTACTGATACATGACTGTTGCAATTTATGTGTGTTTACTGGCAATTTAAAAAATACCTTTCCTGTCAACTGGTAGAACAAACTCATTCTGCATCAGGCACCTCCATGAAAGCTCTGCTTTTTTTTTCAAGGTTTTCCTTGAAACACCTCAATGGCTTAATATGTCTAAAAACTCAAGCCAGTATAAATTTTCAGTCAGTATTCAAAGTACTGCTTCAGTTTTTACTCAAATTAGGATGTCTTTTTGCAATTCTTCAGGATGAGTGCACAGAGGTCAGATGTAGGTTAAGTAACTCTGTCCCATTTAATGGCCACCAACTTTCTCTTTGTCTCATATTTTTTCACAAAGGTAGAAGATCCTGTCTCAGGAAAGGTCAGCACAGCTTCTCTTGCAGCAAGACAGGATCTCACTGGATTTCACATCATCCCACCCAGAGTGACATTTGGAGTGCTGAAGGAAGGCTGCACCTATAAAACCACTGTGATCATCAAGAATGTTGGTGTGAACTTCTCMAGGTTAGTTTGAATTCTTAGAGCTCTGGTTTTTATGTGTCCACATAGATCCTGACCAAAATCAAGTTCAGTTTCTCATAACAGCCCCCTTATAGACCTTCCAGAGCTTTCCATAAAATGGAGCCATATGCTAGGAATGCCTCTTCTACTGCCTTTCCTTTAACATTTTCTGGTGCTTTAACTATTCTTCAGAGGGACATGAAATCCACAGGACCAGTTCCAGAGCAATGCAAAAATAAAGGTCACATCTGATCTAATAATCTTTAAAAATMAGAACAGTAGGAAGTTGCATTCACAAAAGGACTGAATCTCAGATGTGAAACACTCAGTAAAAAATGAGGAAGTGAAACTTCTGCTTTAGTTGGTATTAAATTAAAGATTATTTGCACAAAAGTCATACCAATATCATGCCTTCTGCAATAGGATCCCATCMAAGGACATGAAGCAAAGATTGTTATGGATTTTTGGATGTGCMACTCACAGGTGTTTGCCAAGAAGCTGTTTGTATTTCAGCTTCCTTTGAATGTGCAGGTTTAAAATGCTGATGTTTCATGTTYTGTGTAAGGACCAGGCAGTGTTAACAAGCTCTTTGAAGGCTCACTTTGGCCCAGTCATCTGCTCCTTTGGGGTTTTTTTGTTGGAAAAAACTTTTGGCAAGAAGCCCAAGAATACTGCTAGTCCAAATCCACATTATGATGGAAAGGATGAGCTAAGAAATTCTGCTGTCATTTACAAAAGCAGAGGAAGAGCAGACAGCCTAGTTCCTGGATGTGACTTCCCCTGCCTGAAACAGTTTCTGGCAAACTGATTCTCTTCTCTTTTTGGCAGGTTTCGGGTGAGGCAGCCACCTCCGTACACAGGACTGACAGTGATGTACACACCAGGACCTGTAGGTTACACAGGAGAGCTTTTGGGKTTTTTTTCTAGACTCAGCTTGCCCTCAGGCTACCTGAGGGTCCTGTCTGGGACACTAGGTGTCTGCAAATAGAGCTGCCAGGGTACACAGTTTTGTTTAAAGTTATTTGAAGTGATGTTGTCTTCCACCATGCACTCAAGTCTTAGAGCCTGTGTGAGAATGCAGAGGGATAAACATGTTAAGTTCAGTGGAAAGCAGCAGGTCAAGCAGTGAGGTTAAAGAGAACTTTTTCAAAGCTAAACAGGGCTACTCTACCACTATCTCTGAGTTTTCCCTTCTGCTTGGGGTATTTATTATATCTSCTCTGTCTTATGCCTAGGCCTAACTTCCTGTCCTGATATCTTCAGTATTTGAACCTAATAAACTATTGCTTCAATCCTTTTTTCTCCTGCTTCCAACTGTTCTCCACCTTAAATATTTTATCCAGCAAAAGACTATAGCACTATAAATTATCCCATTAAGTAGGAAGCTTTCATGCTTTCTGCTTTTGTTCAGTCCCTCTTCTCCCCTGCATGTTGTGCTGGCCAATATCCCCACAGCACTCACATAATACCAGACAGTGGCTTTGCCAATGGAATCAAGAAGCAATGATTTGTGCAGGGAGACAATGCCAAAATGCAATTCAAACCTCCTAGYCCAGAGCCTTAGCCACAASCCAGTGYTTAAAATCATAGAATAGTTTGGGTTGGAGGGGATCTTTAAAGGTCCCAGTTGAGAGAGTGTGGGACTTTTCAAAGGCCTGACACAAATCCAGCTAGATGGCTGGAATAATTTCTATTTTCTTTCCTCCACACATCTGTCCCTTTCATATCTCCCTACCTTTGTGTTCTTTTTAGAATAGAATAGAATCTTTTATTTCATTTGGAAGTTCCAAGGAGTGCTGGAGAGGACCATGGATGAAATTTGCACTTTTACCTGTGAGCCATCCTCTGTCTCTCCTAGGTGGCAGCAGGGTTGCAGGTTGAGCTGGAGATCCACATTCTTGCCATGGTAATGGGAGAGAATACTGGTGGTATTGAAGAAGTTTCCCATGATATTGAAATAGTAACAGAAACAGAAACTCTTCTYCTGCCTGTGAAAGCAAATATCCTTTTGTGTCTTTATTTCCCACACACACTTTGTAGCATCAACCCTGGAGATCATTTTTCTCTCAGGAGCTTCAAGCTTTGTTTCCATTGTTTCCAGGCAGTTACAGTAGCAACAGTTGTTTCTGTGCTTTTTAGAAATACACAAATGGAYGTTTTCAAAAGCACAAATGAGTAATTTGAAATTCTGATGCCAAAAGCATTTTACATCAGAGTAACATGGTTTGAAAAGTGGGGAAAKGAAGAACAGCAACTAAGAAAGATGTGGCTTTTAAAAAATAAAAAAATAAGAACTATTTCCCACTGCCCCTCATGAAAATATTTYATTATATTTTTGAATCTGTGGTAGCATCTGGTGGTGCAACCTCATGAGCAATAAAATGATGTATCATCCTGACAATCCCTGCAGCAGCAAAGATGCAAGCACAGAAGCACACAAATGCTGCAGAAATGAGCCTGTGTGGGYTCAGTGGGCTTTTCAGTTGCTTAACTGAGGACAGCAGTACAGTAAAAAAAAAAGCCAAAACAATAGCTATTATTTCTATTTCCCTTGTTCTCCAGAAACTACAGTTATTTTTAGATAAAATTACAGGCTCATTTTTAAGGGGGAGATTAGAAGGGTGAAGTTCTGTTTGACATTTCATCAAATTTACACTTAAAAGTCTGGGAGAAGGGATCCTCCAGAAACCTATAAAAGAAATAGCAAGGCAAGCTMTGTCCAAACATGCCAGAAACTTCATTCAGAGTAAGGGCCACCCTTACCAAAGAAAGGAGAACTTCAGGGTACTCTGAGCCTGACCAGAGTATTGCTAACAGCAACTCCACTGAGGCTTTRTGTGCTCTGGATGTGACATGGAAACTCCCCAAATTTACTCTGCATTGACCCAAAGAAACCTTTCATGCTGATAAGTGCAGAGCAAAGCTAAACAGGACAGGTGGCACAGGAGCAAAASCAGCTCCTGTTCCCACTCAGACACAGTTACAGCCTCCAAAACACGTGYCCTTCCCCCAAATTTTAATCTTGGAGCTGAGGGCAGTAGTCCATATTCAAGATATTTCACCACCTTATTTCCAGAATTCATTCCTACCTCCACACACACTCTTTTAGTTCAACAGAGACACCAAAATGGTTGGATCCTTAATGTGACATTGCACCTGTGCTAAGCAAGGACATTTATGAGCATCGTCCCCCRGGATATCCCCAGGGAGGGATGGCAGCAGCAGTGCAGCTCCTTCCTCCCAGCCCCAAACCACACTTAAGGATCACACTGCCACGAAAGCCTTACAGCTAATGTAAGTACCAGATCAGTGTTTAACTTCTTCTACATCAGCAGCATCATGAACAAACTCATGCAAGTGATACAGCTGTCACACTGACCAGATAACTGTGACAAGGGATAACRTTAACCAAAGGATTCACTAGAAGGGAACTGCAGATTAGTACAACTGCTCAGCTCAGCAGAGCCTCCTCAGTCCTGTCCCAAATCCTTCACTTACTCTCTCCATATTAAACAAATCCTTGAGTCTCCTGGCAGCTGGATTTATTACAGTTAAGCCCTAATAAATCAGCCTCTCTAATGATTTTTACCTTCTAAACCCAAATCTTACTGGTGACCTGTTGACAGCAAGTCTAACAAGGGACAGGAGTCTTACAGATAGGGCAACCTAAATAGGCCAAGTTCAAATACACACAACCCTCTGCACACACTGCTTCACACAGCACATTTCTCTTCACTGGCCACCACAGAGAAGAGAAGAGGGAAGGAGAAAGGAGAAGGAGAAAGGAGAATGAGAAGGAGAAAGGAGAAGCAGAAAGGAGAATGAGAAGGAGAAAGGAGAAGGGGGAGGGGAGAGGAGAAGAAGAGAAGAGAAAGGAGGGGAGGGGAGGAAAAAGAAGAAGAGAGGAGAGGAGAAAGAAGAAGAGAAGAGAGGAGAGGAAAAAGAAGAAGAGAAGAGAGGAGAGTAGAAAGAAGAAGAGAAGAGAAAAGCCCCTACTCTTTCCCTCATGAGGGTGTTTAAGACTGCAATGTCACCTCCAGGCTGAATAAATCAAGTAACCTCAGCCACTTCTCACAAGGCATCCCCCACCAAGGCCCTTCACCATCTTTTTAGCCCCACTTTAGACAGTTTCTAGGAGTGTTTTAGAATGGTTAAGTCTTTCCTGGAAACAAGAAAGCCTTGCTGTGATTTCTCCCAAACCACCACTCAACATGTTTAATATTAGGCTGGTGTTCATCTCACCCCCATGAGCTCAGGCACTCTGCAACACAATCGATGGTGACAGTTCATAAACAGGAACCCCATGGATGTTTCTTCTCTCCTCAGCTCCACAGTCTCCAGTTTGCTTTGTATGTGTAACACTGACATCATCTTTTCCTTTCAAATGAAACATCTGTAAGGCTGCCCTGTTATCTAACCAGTCAGCAAAGAAATCCCAGCTGTATCTCATTTCCTCTCCTCTGGTGAAAAAGAAAAATGACCACATCAGTCATTTCTCAAAAGTTCATAGGCATGCACCTCTGACTGCTGCATCTGCTCTAGGACTGCCCAGTATACATCAAATGCCACTTTTTTCCCTGTTTAAATATCTTCTTACCTTTTCCAGTGTGGAATTTTACCCCCAGAGTAACACGTAATTATAGTCTAGAAAAACAATCAGTTTAATGTTTTCCACCTTAGGGATTTACAACCTGGATCTCATCATGAAGGCAGTTTAGACAAACTTCTTTCACTTGGCATTGGAATGGAAGAGAAATCAGTTCACATTTTAGTTCACATTTTTGAAACCCCAGTACCAAGATTCTGATCATTGTCATCTTCCATGAAAAGCACCAAACAAATTTTCTGCATGGTATTTTCCTCCCACATGTCTAATCCAGCTGCTGTCACCACAGCCAAACCTCCCTTCTCTTCTGACAGTGTCCTTTTGTGAACTGATTGATAATTCCTACTGAAGCTGATAATTCCTACTGCAGCTATCCCATGCTACCCAAACAACTGTACTGATATTTCTTTGAACATTCCTCCCCTCAAAATCTCCTGGACTCAAAGCCATATCCTTCTCAGACAYGTCAAGGAGCTCTGGACTGGTTGGTTTAGGCTCCCAAAACATGAAACACTGACTCTCCAAGGGTAAGGAAGTCCTGGAATTGGCTGTATATTCTTGTTCAGCCATCCAGAACAGAAATAGTTGTCACTGCAGAGGCACTGTGAGAACTTTCTAAGCTCCTATCACCAGAGTCAATGATTCTCTCCACTGAGACCTAGAAACTTCCCTGCAATACTAAACTTGATCACAAAAATACACATTTCCTAATACAAACAAGCAAAAATCACTGATCAAGCATCACCTGACCAAACTTAAAACTGTCTCATTTATATTTCCTTTGTTATTTTGCATCAATATTTAAAACATTTCACAAAGATTCATACTCAGAATTAAATACTGCACAAGAAGCTGTCCATGAAAGTCTTCAGTATTCCTAAGCAGACTTCCCATCCTGAATGCATGGTTATGATTTTTATGCCACTCAATTTGTGCAATAAAAGCAAACTCCTAATCTATGTGAAGCCCATGTCAGAATCCTGTCTCTTGTTGTTTCCTTCCAACAACAAAAGGCCAAATCTACTGAAGTCAGTCCTTAGCAATCACAGTGTTCACACAACACTTGCAAAGAATCTGGATGCAATTATTGGGTTTGCTTCAACAACTGTACAAAGGTAGAGCTGGGGTTTGTCATTTTTTCTTCTTTCCATTCATATTATTTTTTTTGTCCTCTTTCACTACAGGTTAGAGCCCTAGAAGAAAAATATGAGGATCAGCAACACCGAAATACCTGAATTTTAGTCCAACCTTATGGAAACATCCCAGTCTAAYTTTTTCATTTAGTTAATCAGATTAAATGTGGATAAATATTTTGCCTGTTCCTTATTAATGGTCCAAAAGTTGCACACTCTCCTGACGTGGCTGTCTGAAATGCAAACAGTGGAAAGATTACTGTATTTCAACCTTACTACAGAACAGTGCTAAATAATCCCCAGGAGGGGTTTTTAGAGGGATTAGGTTTCTAATAACCTGTGCTGAGGCACCTGAAATCTTTTTCAAGTACTGAGAATGCACCAGGTTTCAATTTTTGTTGACCCTTGCAATAGTGTC